TGTGATGGCCTCGTGCTGTTGGCACAATGTTCGGACTTGAAAACTCTAAAAGCAGCGAGCCTATGTTGTATTTGATAAAACTAAGGATATATAACAAATAATAAACAACTACTTGTTATTTGCATATAAATGTGAACCTATAAGAAAATAAGTACATGTGTAGATTAATGAAACATAAAATTGGAGATGCGTGTACTAAAATTGTAACGGAAAAATATATCCTGTGCTCTGTGGTGCAAAAAATATGATCCGATCCTAAGGGTATGATCGCGCTGTACTTAAAAGGTTTGTTGTATGGAGCCGGGCATGTAAAAATAAACGAGACGGAATTATTACTAGGACACCAATATGGTACTCAATATGCCGTACTCAGTCAACGTGTATAGATGATGCATATGTATTGATGTATAGCTACATGTATAACTATATAAGTGAGCTATATTCAGCATTCACGGCTAACAAACTGGTTTTTATATTGCATGTATGGCATGCATGTATTATGCTAGTCCTTGGCATGAAAACAATAGTCAATATGTATATAGGTAAAACGATCGTTTGACATATTGTTATTGACACTACCGTATAACTATTATACCGTATATTTATGACTCGTGTTTTTTATGCGCACATAATTATTCTCTCAGTATAGAAGCTCTTGTGCCAGAAATATGTGCCATATTTTGCTGACAGGTTATGAAGATGTGCCATCTTTTCTTAACCAGTGGAAGCTAACAGAACGTCCTCAAATGACTGATTAAAATGAGAACATAATTATTTGGTATAGAATTAATTTCACAGGTCAAAACAGTCTACAGTATGCCCATGCAATATATGTGCCATTTTCAGCTCTGAATACTGTCTGCTGACTTGAGAGGGTATATTTTGACTTGAGATATGTTATGTATGTATGTGTGTATATGTGTGTATGTATGCATGTATGTTTTCTCAGTTATTTCGTGTTGTCTAATATATCATGCAATTCAAACCAAATCAGTCACACGCAGGACACAGCAGTCACTATAGCTACTACATGATATATTTATGAAAACGTAAAGACTTAAAGAGTGCATGACATCATTATATTTAATTTATGTTCCATCTGAGTGGTTTTATGCGCAAACTTTGTTAGTGACCTATACCTTCGATAAACTGCAATCGTCCAAGAGCCACATTTTAAGAGCCGAGTTATAGAATACAGTAGAGCTAGCTACTTCACATATCGTTTGACAATCGCAACGGGGTACACTTGTATTTTATTCTGCGAGCTATTTTAGTTGAATCAATTTTATAATATTTGGCCCCCTTGTGAACAAGCTTGTAATCAAATATCATTGCGTTAGGCATTAAAAATAATATTCAACTTCTCCCTCACATCAGTTTTCCTTGATTGATGACAGTATATGGTGTTCTGCAGTTGCAGGCAAAGTGTTGGCGAGGCCTAAAATCACAGCGTGATCCGCATTATATTAGTGCGGTTCACGCTGTGATTTTTTTCGTGCGGGTTGTAATCGGGCGGTCTACAGATATTTTTTCCAAGATTGTAGATAGACCCAAAATGCAATGCACAAATATCCAAAATGCAATGCGCGCAGCTAATATGAAAAATAATCGAACATCTACTTATAACTTTTGCCATAAATTTTTGTCATATCTCCATTATGTACATTTTAGCAAAAAAGATAATTAACGTTACGAGTAAGTGATGTAGCAACATTACGTCCAGGGAAAGTTTGACATAAACTATTTACACTAGTTTATAAGTTATACATAGTTTAATTTAGTGAGGAGTTAGTCGGTTTACCGTGTCAAGTCCAAGTCAAATCTGAGCCCGAGTCAAATGTCCGAGTCACTAGCTGTTTAGCGGTCTTTGTAGTTCATTGACATAGCACCCTAACCCTACTCCTAACCCAGGGCCGTAGCTTGGTAATAATCATTCTTTTTCCAAAATCATGCAGACCTTTATCATTTAAATAATATACCTTTAAAATACTGACAATTGATTAATTTTAAGAGGCTACATTATCCATGACAAACTGCAAAATGAAAGAATGAAAGATCTGATCTATACAGTACTGTAAATTTATTATATTGCTGGGGGGGGGGGGGTTACTATTTTTTAGAATTCATGTGAAGGGGGTTATTGAGTTTTTTGTGATGCACGGGGTGGGGTAAGACATTTTGTTTAGTTGTTAATTTAATTTTGCCAACCCACCCGAGGTCATAAATAACGAATGGTCCCTGAGACTGACTGGACCAAAATTATTTCAGTCGTTGCACTGGATCAAAATTAATTAAGTAGTAATTTATTTGTATGACATTGACATTTATTTGTATGATTTACGTGTACTTGTATTTATTATTATTATTATTAATTTATTTCTTGAAAATGGCTTTTCGAAATAATTACATCGTATAAAAATGAAGATTAAATACGTATTTACATGAGTTTATTAGAAGACCTATATATATATACACTAATATATCAAAATATACATTTGTTTATGGGTATAATAAATCAATTATTGATAATATTGAGTTGTTCCAGCACTCTTCATGCAGTATCTCTCTTAGCTTACTAGTTTTTTTAAAAACTCCAATACTTGAACTATCTTTAATGTTATTGTCTAAATCATTCCATAATTTGGTTGCTCTATATAAGAGCGCTGGCCAGCAGCTGTCAGATAAAATGGGATATCTAATTCATCCATTTGTCTTGTCGCCCGACCATGTGTCTGGGATTTAGATGTGAATCTTCTTGCAAGGTATGGTGGTGCTAATCCTTTAAGACACTTATAAGCCATAACAGTATCTTTATATTGCAGCATATAAGAAACAGGTAGCTGTTTAGTTGTTGTAGCACGGGTCGGTAATATGATCATACTTTCTCGTGCCTGTGACAATTCGTGCAGCAAAATTCTGCATCGTTTGTAGTTTGGCAATATTTTTCTTAGACGTATTTGCCCACACAGATGAATAATAATAAAGTTTGCTGAAGACCAAGGCGTTTATGATCACAGTCAAGGTGCGGCTGTCTAGAATATGTTTAACTCGATCAAACTACTTTGCTAATTCTGGCAAAGAGAATTTGTACATTTTGAGACCACGCGGGTAATATGCTCATCATAGCTCAGACACCAACGTTTGAATTATTGGGGGGGGGGGGGGGGGGGTGTTACCCCCCCCTATAGCGACGTCCCTGTCCGAAACAAGTATATTAAGTGTTTCTGTTGAATGCATCTTTTTGTTTGCACTCTGATGTTTGGTGAGACACCCTTTCTGAGACATATATTCCATCAATTGATTGAGTGCAGCCCGTTTACAGATCTTAGAGGCCACAGTAAGCAGGGACACGGATTGTTAGGTATTTCGTAATCCCCCTTCTTTAAAATTGGGATAGCCACCAATTTCTTCCAAGCTAATGGAAACACCGCAGTTAATAAGGAACTGTTTACAATCTCGGTTTGGGTTGGAAGAATTATAGGTAGAGCATCCTGTATAACAGAGACAGAAACTTTGTCCACGCCTGGTGCCTTATATGATGGAAATGAATTCACAATCTTACGTATTTTATAAGATGATACAGGGCGGAAGTTAACCTCATCAGTGTTGTTATTTAATACAAGATTAAATCGCCTTCTTTATCAAAAATACTTTATCTTATTCTGAAAGTAACGATTTAATTCCAGACTCAGGAAACCTTGAAATTATTTGCATTGAAATTAGATTTTGTGCCTCCTTCATTGTAAGTAGCTGGTATCGGCCACCTAACTCGGAACTTGAACTATTTGATAATTTCGAACTTTTTTGTTTAAGTGTGTGATTTCAGGAAAATGCCATCTGACCCACACAGTTTTTGTGTTCTATGTATGAGCTTTCACAATTAGTTGATGAACCAACGAGGGTTTCTGAAAATTCGGCTACATTAATTGACCTTATTTTGACTAATAGACCAGAAAATATACTGAGGTCTGGAGTTATTCACCTTGAAATTTTAGATCATAGTTTGATCTTTGCCGTGCGGAAATTCAAACTCCAAAAATTTAGACCTACTACTAAAGAAGTCCGTAATTTTAAATATTTCTCAGTTGATGATTTTCGCAGTGACTTACTACAAGTTCCCTGGGATATGATATTTACTCTTTATAATCCTAACGCATGTTGGATGCTATGGAAATCGTTTTTCGATGAAATCCTAAATAAACATGCACCACTTTGCAATAAACGAGTTAGATCTAGACAATCTCGCTGGATTACACCAGTCATTAAACAATTAATGCGTAACAGAAATTTTCACAAAAAAAACCCCATGAAATTCAATTCAGAGGCGTAGCCAGAGCTGGGGCCGGAGGGCCCGGCCCCCCAAAAAAGGCTTAGAACTTCCAACGTAACTGGGTAAATCGTTAATAAAGATAAGAAAGAGAATTGGTCCTAGTATAGATACTTGAGGCACACCAGACTTTATCAGAGCTGGGTTGGATAGGGATGATGCAATTTGTACTACTTGGTAACGATCATTTAGATTTAAACCATTTTAAAGCTATTGGAGTAATGCCATATTGTTCTAATTTCTGCAGTAGCAATCTATGATCGACCATGTCAAACTCTTTGGAGAGGTCAATTAGAACTATACCATTAATTAAACCTTGCTCAATGTTATCGAGAAGGTGTTCACAGATCAATATTAGAGTAGATTCACAAGAGTGATGGGCTCGAAAACCATGCTGGCACATGAATTTGATAGAATATCATTTTCTGTGAGGAATTTTACATATGAGTTGGCAACATGTCGTTCGAGGAGTTTAGATAGAATCAGTAATATAGAAATGGGCCTGAAATTGTTTCTCTCAGTACGTGTTTCAGCTTTATAGATTGGAATGAGTCTAGTTTTCTTCCACATGTTGCATTGGGAAAGACGCCATTTTCAATGCTCATATTACAAATGCGAAGTATTATGGGTGCAATGGAATGAATCGAGGACTTGATGAAGTAGGCAGGAATACCATCAAGACCGGTTGACTTGTTCTGGTCTAATTCGGCTGCAAGATTTAGTATGTCATCGATTGTTATCAGTGGAATTGTAAACTTAATATGATTTGTTGCAATTGGTAAATGAGTATTAATTGGGTTGTTTATGAGTAAACTGATATCAAAGTTGTCTGCAATAGAGGAGAAGTATTCATTAAAGAGATCGCCAACCTCGATAGGATCACTGATCTCCTTGCCATTAATGTTAAGTGTTATTTGGGAGACAGTGTCATTGGTCGGCAAGATATCTTTTAGAATTTTCCATAATTATCGTGGATTATGTACATTATCAGTCAGGAGGTTCTTATAGTAGTCCTCTTTTGACTTTTTAATAATATGAACAGTTCTATTTCTCCATTTTTTGTAGGTACACCATGTGTCAGAGTTTTTGGTTTTTAGAAATTGCTTTAAGAAAAAGTCTCTTTTGCGGCTAAAGCAACGTACTTCAGAATTAAACCACCCCGGCAGTTTATTATTTCTGACTCTACGTTTTATTAAAGGTGCATGCCTATCCAAAATTTTCATAAAGTGAGAGTACCAACAGTCTAATAGATCGTTTGGATCATCAAAAATTTCATAAAGGCTTAACGGGATTTCTTCAACAAGGTCATTGGCAAAATCACTCGCAATAAAATCTTTCTTCCTGCGATAACTAATCGTTGTATGTAAACCTTGTTTAATTGAGATCCTGGAATTAATTTTTCTAGAGATAAAAATTGGCAAATGGTCACTCATCCCAATATCTAGCACGCCTGATTTAATAAAATTATCTTCCTTAGAGGTGAAGATAAAGTCAATTGTTTTACCTGACATTGGCCTGGTAACTGCATCAATAAGTTGTTTAAGCTGATACTGAGATGTTAGAACATGAAGTTGTTGATAAGAATGTTTATCTTGAAAATTTGCGTTTAAGTCCCCTAACATAATTATCTCTCTGTGTTCATTGTCAGCCATGATAGATAGATAGATAGATAGATAGATAGATAGATAGATAGATAGATAGATAGATAGATAGATAGATAGATAGATAGATAGATAGATAGATAGATAGAAACTTTTATTTAAACACGCTAACCATTGTCAACCTAGGCTGATTTCCACAAGGGGCGTGTACAACAATAAAATTACAAAGATATAGTATATAGTAAGATATTACATACAGTAAGAAATAAATATATATATATATATATATATATATATATATATATATATATATATATATATATATATATATATATATATAAATATATATATATATATATAGCTTAAGATTTTGGTTTACGAAACACAAACAGTGCTCAATACCATATAGATAGAGCGTAATATAGTTTTTCGTTTTACCTCAAAAAACCACAACAGTCTGTTTCATCCGTATAATCATATTTCGTACAATCTGGCGAGGACCTGCGTAGATAACGCGATCCGTCTCTAGAAAGAGACAATGCTCTATAGTGCATGCAGTGCTCTTAGTCATCATCGCTGATCACGATTACATGAGGAATAGCTATAAGAGAAAAACATGCAGAATGAAGTTTGCTTGGCAACATGTACGCCAACCGCAAGACGCGCAGTTATATAGTACTTGTAGATGTCGCACACTGGAGATGATAAACCTTAAACTCTAAACAACAAGACCACCTGATGATTCCTATACGGATGAAACAGACTGTTGTGGTTTTTTGAGGTAAAACGAAAAACTATATATATATATATATATATATATATATATATATATATATATATATATATATATATATATATATATATATATATATATATATATATATAATTCATTAATCTTAAAATATATTTGTCGCTACACTGTGTTTCACGCTTCTTTCGAAGCGATCTTCAGGCGAATGAAGTTGATTCAATGACGTGCTCTAAACTAACGGTTTGCTGACGCATCTCGCGTGCGTTCAAATTTGCGCGCGCTAAAACTATTTCTATGACAGCATTTCGCGAATATTTCTGAGCGTTTATTCAATTTCCTTTTTTTTTTTCAGCTTCCAGTAAGCAAACCTTCTCTTCAAGGCACAGATTGCATCTTGCTGCACCAGCCGTATACGCACGGGCACGCTTTAGTATGCTCCACTTGATGTTGTATTGCTTCTCGCTTTTCTTGAGTTTCATGCACGCATACTTTGATAATTCTGTTTCCGCTGAATACCGAGGAACAGTTAGTGATTTTTTATGGTTGGCATGCCTCTTCTTGAACGTCCCCGCCGTCATTCCAATGTACTCCTTCGTTTCTTCGCGGTCACTAGTCGAGATTTCTGCTTTATATACAACACTTGTTGATAAACATTTATTGTCAAGCGGACATTTGTCTTTATCATGACAGTTACACATTTCTTTACTTTCTGGCTGGTTGCTTTTTCCAAGCAGGTGTTGATTGCGGTTGGAGATAACGCTCTTGATGTTGCTCATGCACGAGTAGCTCACTTTTACGCTGTTTCTATTAAAGATCTTGTGGAGGCGAGATGTTTTGGGGAAATGCTTGTCAATTAGTTGAAGGAAGTTACGTGCAATGCTTGTTTTAACATTCTTGCTGAAGGGAGGGTTTATTTATTTATTTATTTATTAACTTTACAACCATACATAAAATATGGGTTGAACCATATAATATTTCTTTTCCGCCTTCTCGTTCTTGATGATGGGGTATCGTTACAGTTTTCATCAGCAGAGTATTGTAAAGT